AATCACGAAACAAGTCATTACATAATGCCAGGTAACAAAGGAGAAGACGTACCTTTCGTCGTCTTAGCTTTTGGTTTGGACACCACAGAAAGCATCGTGTCAAACTTGGGGTTATCAGACTGCTTGAGGGCACACGAGTCCGAATTAAAACACTTGACTAGATAACAGTTTTTATTGACCATGAAGGCAACATCACATCTCCTAGACCCACAACAGTGTCCCAGGCATTCGTCCATCTTGTTTATTCCCGCCATTTTGTAATATTTTCCAGCCTTGGCGCCCTTACTTAGGGTGACATTATAGTTCACTGCACTTTTCTTACAAGGTGTCTTGTCAGACGAGATCAATTCCAGATTCGCGGCTAGAAGAGAAGCAGATAAAGTGTGTTATCGATTAAAAAAATCAAATAAAATCCGCTATGTGAATGTTAACAGCAGAATAGAGAAACTGTGAACAAGAAAAGGCCAAAATGATAGGAAGCACTTCTGGTTGATTTTTTTCAAAACGTGGTTCATGAAAAGTAAGCTCTAGTTGGTGAATAAGGTAATTGTTCATTTTAACCTTATTTAGCCAAGAGTTCTTCTGACTTGAAATCCAAGATGGATAATCAAAGATGGCGGACATCTTAAAACCTGTGACGTATTTTTGACGATATACGTCGTCATGATTGACACGCGGTTATCACATAGTAAACAATTTGTATTCTTAACACACAAGATGAATTTGATTGCTACTGAGTGAATACTTTTGGAGATACATAACGGAGCACAAAGTGCCTCCCCTAGGCTCACGAAGAAACAAAAACCAGATTAAATAGGGACCAGAAAGATAAGAGGGTTAAGGAAAGGTAATATAAGGGACCAAAGGATAGAAAAAAACACTGGCAGTCTCATAATATTTCGGCGAAAATCGTGAAATCGGTATCAACCAAGATTGAACAATCCAGCTCTACGTATATACATTCACAGACTATGCCCTGGGATACATAAAAAAGATGAAAAGATCAATTTAATGAAATAAGTTTAATTACAGCATGCCGAATGATTTAGTCGTTGATCGAGATAACAAATTATCGCAAAATTTCTTGCTATCCTACCTGCGATACTAAGATGTGAAAGTAAAAATAAACAAGCCAGATTCACAACGGTCTCCATTTCTCCGTTTTCCCCACTTCCTACGCATATGAAAGAGAAGAAAATCAACAATAGTACATTAGAACCTTTTTCAAAACCCTATATTTGACAGAAACAGTATGAACATTCTTTCCAATCTTTTAAAATAATGGTTAGTCATGTTCTGCACCTACAATTGTAGTTTGTACTGATTTCTCTCACTCCTCCTGCCTACCCAGTTAGTCTCTGCCCAGTCTTACTCATGCATCCACACTCTCTACAAGGAGAGGTCACCTGTGCCTCGGTCGAGGTTTGCAATTAATGAAAATATATGTTTTGCAACGTATCCCATAAGTAGCCCCAACTTAGCCTACAAGAAGGTAAGGTTTGCAGATTTTGGTGAACTAAACTTCATTACGATTTCTTGTTGAAGTCATAGTGTGAGACTAATTCTTCCGTCCACAGCCTACAGCTGTTACTCTTGCGCAGATTTTATTTTGCCCGCACCCTCAATGATCTCGAGAGAAAGTAGACGGTCTGTAAAGAAACTAAGTAGAACTACAATTTAGAAACACGAAATAAACAGCAGCATTCTCCAAAACCACCGTGTCAACTCAAGTAATTTTAATCCCGACCGTCTCACCGCTACCAGAAAAAGACAGATCAGGACAAACATATGCTTCAGAAGATAATCCGGAATAGTCAGTCTTTAATCTTTAAGCATTTGTTGGATACGGAAACCGACCAACCAATTAAGGAGCGTGCGCCATTTGAACCGAAAATTAATAGCCGAAGAAGGCTAATGGATTTTAATTCTTAGCTTATTTTACGCGGCTGCCGTGAAATGTTCAATTAAGATGATTGTGTTATTACGTTTTATATTGGATGTTTGTCATCAACATTCCGGAATTGAACGAAAGCAAATGTAGGTCCAGTTCACGGAGTTTCGCTTTATGGCTTTTAAATAATGGTTAAAAATTAAAATACCCCAAAGCTCCAATTTACTCGGTTAAAAATATCTGAAAAAGCAATAGAACAGTTTATAAACTGGAAACCGCCGTGTAGTTGTACAACAAACTGAGAATGGGGCACCAGAAAAACAGCTCATGGATAACATAAACTTGTTAATGCCAAAATTGTATTCGTATTTTAAACTGCTGTATTTTTCCTGTTTTAAGTTTTCTTTTTCTTCCAACAAGAAGCTAGATGGAAACCTTGTTGCGATTTATTTTTGTATAATATAAAAAGTAATGTATCGGTTTCGCAAGAAATATATGAACTCTCCCATGACTTGTGAGATCGCGGAGCGTTTACTGTTGTTGACAATGCTTTTGGAGGTTGTAAATGTAGACTTTGCTTGATCTAACAAGCGATTCTCCATAATTTAAAACAATAAAATAAATCAAGGCATACATCCATTTACTTACCAAAGAAAATCGCGATTTCCGGAGCTCGTTAGGAAAAGATGAAGTCACTCTAGTCCCTAGAGACCATTACTAATAAATCGAAGCTGGAGCATGCGCAGTGCAGAGGGTAGAACAGTACCTGCCACTGACGACTGGTATGTTATGACAGTAACAATGTGTTTAGAATGACTTGTCACAGTAATTGTGTCTGTAATATCACCATGTTAATCGATCAAGCATCTCCTGTAAATAAACTTATTTGGCGTTTAGCAAAAGTCTCTTGCGTTTTGCTGGCTTCATTCGGACGATCAGTAACGTTACTTGGTTGATTTTCTGTATATTAGTCTCCACTGAGCTCGCGTACATTTTGCAGGATTGTTGCTAACCTAAAATGACGTATCACCATTTTGACAAATGCTTGTCACGACTGACTGAGTGCTTCGTCAGTTTAGATAACAATCAGGCGGCCCGATGAGCCACCAAGCGGAGCACTATAACCATAAGAACAAAACCTCGTGCATGCATAGGAATAGAAAGCCAGGCAACTCTTTTTTCGTGGTCAACATGGCTTCCCGGGCGCGTTCGCCCTTCGACGACGACGATAGGGTGCTTAAGCAAACTACGACGACGGTGGCAACGAGAACGTCACCAAACAAAAGGTTTAATGAGCAAAACAATAGCTGTGCACGTTTATTGTACATTCCTTTGCCGTACTCTGCACAACAAGGACGTGGAATGACCATGTTCGGTGTAGTGCGAGGAACGTGAACAACGACGGCTAATTTTTCGTCTTTCCATTTGGAATTGAACGCTGTCATTGCGTATTTAGCTCGAGCACTTTTAGAGCCATTGGGGTACTGAACAGATCTAGAGAATTGCGAATTTCGCTGTTCAAATATAAATTCATTTTTGACTTGGTATCGTCCTCGGCGTCGCTTTCGCCCTTGCTTAAGCTCCCTAATGAAGACGACGGCGACGACGACGACATTGCACAACATGTTAACCATACTCCAGCTAACAGATAGTTGCAGCCTTGGTTTACAGCGTACATTTTTGATATTGGACATCCATGTTGTAGGTTTGATTGATACCTGTCAAAACAACGTATCCGCTGATCAGTATCACGTGACTGTATCGCTTGCGCAAGTTTAAAGCTTATCGAGGTCACATGTTTTTTGAAGTTGACCGCTTCGCAGGTACTGGTTTTCGATTGGATCGGAGGCTCAAGCCAGTTTAACTTATTTTAATCAGTAGCTCCGCTTTTAGGCTTGGCTAAATATATATATATATATTATAATCGTTATCTCTGCGGATGACTTCAACAGTGACGATCCACAAAAATCGATACTCGCTCGATTTTTCATAGACTCAAAAGGGTGTGTTTCTTATTATTTAGACTTCCAACCGTGAACTCGTAAAGTGGATCTATAAGTATAGGCTATTCAGAGCGCTTTGCGTATCCAGTCATGATGTGTAAAAATGACCGCATCTTGTTGCCAAAACTTTCGATTCTGCAGCAGATTCCACGCGGCGATTAACTTGCATTCTTTCAATTTTAATTTGTCTTTTGCGATTCGAGAAATTGAAAGTGTCACTTGTAATATCAGTCGCAGTCGCTCTTGCAGGTTCTCCCTCAATAATGCTACATGACGGGGCGCACAGGGCTTCTACTGATGGGTTAATCCTGTCTAAAGATTCGTTATTATTTATTATTATTACCGCAGAGAAATGGTAGGAAATTTTCTTAGCATTCCTTACATACTTTCATTAGGGTTCTTCGTCTTGCCGCCAGGGAAGGCGTCATAATCTGTTTCAGTGACATGTCGATGATATCAAATAAAAAAATAAACCAGAAAGGGCCGATGAAATATGAGACAAGCTTTAAAATGAAGTCACGATATCAATAGTACTTTAAAAGTAAATAGTGCGTTCGAGTCATTCCCGATGCTTTCAAATGATGGCGGACTCCACCGACGCCAATAATCTGGAACTAAAAAGGTTCATTATATATCGGATCACGTCTAAACACACGTGAAGAAAGACTTGGGCAGGAAAAAAACGTGAGCGGACAAAACCGGGAAATGCCGATAAATCAAGTAATTCCGCAATGATGAACGAATTACACAACATGAACCTTCCTCTGTTTTTCCCCCTGAACCAAGTTCAGATCTACGAACTGAACTTAAAGATTCCAAAGTGCCTACGAATGGATGTTAAGCGCGGCGAGCAGACGTAAATGTCTTGTTTACCCAATGAAAGCCATCACAATAAACTCTGAGCTTGCATCGAGATGCTTGTCCGGGCGTAAAGGAGCG